AAAGACGAAAACCTAGGTACCGGAGGGGGGGGGTAGCATATATATGTATATGTATATATGTATATGTATGTATATATATATATATACTGCACAACCTTAACACCCCAGCCCAAACACTCCCTAGGCCCATGGCCCCGACATCCGAAACCGCTCAAACTGCGGGGGCCTGCGCCTTGCGGCTTGCAGCTCCACGGCGCGTGTTGGCCTGTCGGTTTCGACTCACACACTCGCAACTGCAGGCATGGCAGTAAGTGTCCGGGCTTGCTACGTGGATATGCCTGTCGGCTCGGGGTTTTCGGCGCTCACACTCGGACAATCCGGGGTTTTAGGGTTTAGGGGCCCACATCCCAGGACAGAAATCCACGGCTTCCGAAGGAATGAGTTGCGAAGGCACCATGTTTTGTGGTGCCGAAGTCACAACTACCTATAGGCCCCATAGTCGTTCCTTTTGGGGATTCCCTTATGGTATCCTAAATAAAAGCCTGAAAAAGGAACTACTATGGGGCCTAATGGGTAGACTCGTGACCTATGGTTTCAACACACACACACACACACACACACACTCGGAGAAGCCGGGGAGGGGTTTCTTGAGAAAAAAACGGTTTTTGGGCTTCTGGGGCTTAGGGCTCTTAGGTTTAGGCTTACCCTAAACCCTTTCAGCACGGACTGAGGTGCCGGCCAGCGCCCATGCAACCCTCACCCCGTCTTAAGCCCTAAACCCTAAACCCTAAATAGGGCTTAGGCGTCGATATTTTGGGGGGAATCTTACGGAGCGCCCCCGAAGCTGAATTCCCGCAGCTCGGGAGCCTCCAGAGTTCCAGCGGGGCATCATCTTATGGGTCCCACAAGGAGTCTTTTCTTGGAGGCTCATGGGTAGTTATAACTGGGTTATAAGTCCATTATCGGTCCCCTAGTATGACAAAATCAGTTATGGGTATAGTCAGTATAGTGACCCTATTTGTAGCCCCAGCTATATCTACCCGTGAACCTCTCAGTCCCTACAGGCAAGAATGCGAGAGATCACTACGACATCGGTGGCCCTAAATAGCTGATGATCTCCAGCAGCTGGAGCTCTCCACATGCATCTTGGTCCGGAGCACTAGTCTCAAAGCTTTCATCAAGCCTGACAGCAACCCCTACAAGTCTAGAAGACCCCAAACCCCTAAACCACTGAAGGCAAAATCTTGGCGGCCACAAACCCTTCATATCCCTCAGACCCCATGTCCAAATCGAGACCGCCTTTGCGTGAAGTCCGCCACTTCTTCGGACGGGGCCGATCCGAAGCCACCTGGCGCATGGCAAGCCCGAGTTTCACTTTCGACTCTCACATTCGCACAAGGCAGGCAAGGCTTCACAACAGCTGAAAATAGGGGACCCTAATATAGTATCCAAATAGCAGGATCCTTATTATAAGGACCCCAAAATAAGGTACCCCTAATTTTCGGAAACTCCCATCTGGCCCAGCCAACAAGGCTTACTTGTAATACTGGTAGCAATGTCATGCCAACTATTGCAAGTCAAGTATTACTGCTAGCACCGTTTTTTGCTATCAACTCTTGAAGTAACATCTACGGTCAGGCAGGACGTTTTAGTGCGCAGGCCTTGCAACTTCGAGTCCACGGTTTCTTTCCGGTTTTCAGGCTTACAAGTTTTTGATTTTAGGGCTTCGGGGTGTCAAGGTCTAGGCGTTCAATTTTCGCAGGGCTTGTTTTCAACTTTTGTCTTTGCGCTAAAGTGCCAGAGTGTCCGAATTCTCAAGTCTTGGCATCAAGGAATGTGCTGCAGCTCTAGGAGTTGTGTGTTAGCAAACCTGGGTCGTGAACGCCAAATAATTTCGGCCGAGTGTGTCTGAGCTACGGGTAGGTAGCTCAACCCTTGTGCTTCCAACTGTTGCAGCATCCATGCATGGATGCCGAAAGGCTTACAAGGCTTACATCTACGCCCTTTTTACACAGGCTTGATTGGAGCTCGCCCGGCCAATGTCCCTCGTAGCACATCTACACCCTAAGCCCTAAACCCTAAACCCCTACCTATTTCAATGAATACCGAGGCGCCGAGGATACCCCACTGAAGCCCTGAAAACCCCATAATCCCCTGCATGAGGCCAGAACACCCCATACACCTTTCTCATATGACCTCTACATACAGCCCTTCCCAACCTTTCTGTAAGCCCTTCTTCCACCTAAACCCTAAACCCTAAACCCTAAACCCTCAACCCGAAAATGATCCGGTGACCGAGAAGCCACGGGCCCGCCTCCCAAGTCGAAACGCCGCGCTGGGGAGGCCGACTGCGCCTCCGGTGGGGGACTTAGAGGGTTTAGGGCTTAGGGTTTAGGGGTTTAGGGCTTAGGGTTAAGGGTTCAGGGTTTAGGGTTTAGGGTAATAGGGTTGATGAATAATAATCAATTTGTCCAGTTTGGGTTTGGCTTTTAGGGCTTGTAGACTTTGGGGTTTGGAATATAGGATGTAAGGCAGAACATTAAAACGTTCGGTTGTAACTTTTTATGAATACATAAAAGATGCACCTTTATACGCAAATCTCACATATATAATATATCTGTATGTATACATACACATACACATATGTGTAATATGCATATACATATTCGTATCCATTTATGTGCATGTATATGCATACGTGTATGTGTTGTGTATAATAATTCGTCATATGTATATATATATATATATATACATACACAGACACACATGCACTTACTCGTTGTATGTGTATGCATGTCCTGTGTTGCGCATCTATCGGTACCTGCCTATGTTATCGGACAACATAACCCACAAATATCCTGAACCCGATGCCCCAAACCCTTTTTGCTAAACCTTAAACCCTTTTTTTTGGAGCAGGGACTGCAAAAACCCTAAATCCCAAACCCTAAAACCCCAAAACTTCACCAAAGAATCCCAAGACCCAAGGAACCTTGGCCCCTAAACCCTAAATCCCAAGCCCTAAAACTCCAAAACTTCACCAATTAATCCCAAGACCCAAGGAACCTTTGCTGCTGCTCTGAGCACCGGCTTTCGCGTGCTCAGTCGAGCCTCCCGAGCAGGTGGCCGTGCAAAAATTTGGCTGTTCGGGTTTAGGGCTCAGGGTTTTTATTCGGGTTCCTTTAAAGAGTCTATAAGGGTTTTGCGTTTAGGGTTTAGGGTTTAGGGTTCCTATTTGGGTTCCATTTATGAAGGGTCTATGGGGGCTTTACGCCTGAGGGGATTTAGGGTTTTATATTCTTGGCTGAATCGTTAGGGCCTGGGGAGTCAGGGAATTTGGGGGTTTAGAGTAGAGGTGTGTTGCACCTCAAACTTGGCAGGTAAGGTTTAGGGTTTAGGGCTTTTTTGCCTCCTACTTGGCAAGGACGTTTAGCGTTTAGGGTTTAGGGTTGAGGGTTCAGGGAGGGATGCAACAACTGGCCAGGTCTGAACACTTTGCTCTCAGCAGCTCGAACATGAATTGCACACGAGAACTGTAACACAAGTCAAACATCCATGGCCCCATCCGACAGCCAACCCGTCCTCCTGACTGGGTTTGTAAAGCTCAACTTATTTTCTTGCGATGCTGACTCGCCAAGCGAAACTGTGCTCTGAATGACATGCCAGATTCCGTCGCGAATCTGACGCATGGTGGACACGTCATCGACTTAGAGCATTCAAACAAAATTCGGGCTGACCGGGGATTCGCTCACCCGTGACATGATGGCTTCGACTGTGCATGTGACGGCTTTGGGAAGCCGACGGATCAAAAAGGTGAGACTCGCAAGCTATTGCTGACGGGAACAGTTCTTCGCAGAATTCTCCTCTCCTCCCGAACAATCCTGATAGAGGCGACCTTAGATGAAAGGGGAGACCTTGCGGACAACGCCCCGGCCCTGGCTATAGTGGTAGAGGGTGGTGTAGCCCAGGTGGAAGGGCAACCAGGCATACTGCAACATCTTGCCCAGCACCTTGTGGGCGTCGATGGATTGCTTGGCCAGGCGGTCGTTCCTGCGATCGTCCTCGGCCTTGCCGGTCTTGTCGGAGCCTGGAGCCCACTTGAGGAAGTACTCGTTGGCGATGCCGGACACGGGCAGGAGCAGGGCGAAGGCGTAGAAGGCCCGGAGGCTCTGTGTCTCGATCATCTGCATGATCGGGTGTCCTGGGAAGCGCGGTGGGATGCCGCTCTGCATTCGGAAGATCACGCGGAAGACAAGCGCCACCAGCATCAGGATGCCCGTCTGCTTGTGCCACCAGAGCATCTGCTTCTTGGCCTGGCCTTCCGAGAGGGAGGCGGCTTGTGCAGTGCCCACAGCGCCGAAGATGCCCACGGCCATGAGGAGGTGCAGATGTCGCAAGGCACGGCTGTAGGTGAACTGCGACAAGGGCTTGCGGTTCTGGACAGTCTTGAAGAGGTACCAGGCCAGCGCAGCGACTGCCACGTCTGTGACCTTGTACTTCAGATAACGGCCAATCTCCGAAGTCTCTTCGCCGACCACCTGCTGTACTGCAGCTGTCTCCGACCAGTCCGTGTTCTCTGCTGGCACCAGCTGACCTACCAGCATGTCGCGGTCTCGCTGCACCCGAGCCTTCTCAGAATGCTCGAAGACCTCGAAATCCTTGGTGCAATCCGTGCCCGCCTTGGACATCAGGATGTCGTCGCCGCCGGGGTGGCTGCCCAGCAGGGGCTTCAGGTTGTAGACACGGTTGTGGATGATCATATACGGCTCCTCGGCAGTGTTGTGCTTGGCCACCTCTGCGCGGGAGAAGAAGGGGAGCTCCTTGCCAGCCGAGATCTCCGCCAACTTCGGGAAGCGGCTCTCCTCCGAAAGTGTCGGTGCATCTGTCTTCCCCGGCACCTTCACGGCCGTCTTCACCGCCTCGATTTCCTCCTTGGAGGGGCCCTCCAAGCGCCGCAGCTCGTCGTGCAGCTCCCTCAGCTCCATGATAATCGAGTCCACTGGCTTCTCCGGGCCGACCTTGCCCGTCTTGAACTCCGGGCGCATGTAGTACTCCATCCACTGCTTGCTGGGGAACCGGCCGGGGATCTTGTCGAACATGGGAGTCGCATCACGACCAGCCCACGCCAGAATGGAGTTGCGCTGCTCCGGGTGGTGCTGCAGGAAGTCCGTCAGGTCGTAGACCTCTCCACAGATGGCGATCCAGCAGTCGTGAGGCTTGTTGTGCCGGGCCACCTCCGACGATGGGATGTCGCTGCTCGCCCAGCCCGTGGGTACGTCGTGCTTGTGCGCATGGTCCTCGTGCGACAGGAGCTCCTCCATGGCCCTTTTGACCTCCGCCGCCTTCGCGAAATCTTCGGCATCCAGGGCCGCCCGCTCTTGAGTCTTCAGGCGCTGGAGCTTCTTCTTCAACTCCGGGTCCACCGCCTTGTCCTGGAGGAGCCTTGGGATGCTGTCAGCCTTGTGGGTTTTCGTGCACCGGTTCAGCAAGCGATCCACCTCCTGCCGGATCTCCAGGATGCGGGCCTCGCGGAGCGTGTGCCAGAAGTGCTCGGACATCAGGTTCTCATCCACCCCCAGGTCACCCAAGGAGGCCTCGGGCCGCAGGTAGGGTTTAGGGTTTAGGGTTTAGGGTTTAGGGTTTAGGTCACCCAAGGAGGCCTCGGGCCGCAGGTAGGCGTCGATCTTCACGCCCTTGTGGATCTCATTGAAGAACTTCGAGGCGTCCTTTCCCGCCCAGGCGAGGATGGTCGTGGGACCGCCGGGATGTCGATCCATGAACTCCTGGGCTCTTGCTACAAGGAACGTATGTTTTAGTAGTTAAGATGATACCAGAATATTATGTATCATAGATCCCCATCATGGTGGCTCAATAGTATTTGCCGTGGATCCCCATTATGGTGATCTAACTTTATATTCCTCAACGAGAACGAGATTCCGAGAGGTCATAGACCTTGCCGTTCAGCGCCACCCAGCAGTTCTCAGGCGTGCAATGACGGTTCACCTGGGAGTTTCTGATTGTTCGGGAAGCGCGAACATGAACCCAACACTAGTAGGATCTTGGAGCCATATAGTTCCCTATTAGCCTTCCTACTAAACCTATAGTAGGTTACTTTTAAGGAGCCCCTTGACAAGGTACACGTAATTCTTCAGAAGTCCCCGCACCTCGGACAGCGGGATGTTCTTGGAGATAGCGGAGGTGCCCGGCTCGTGGATGACTTTCTGCTGGAACTCAGGAACCTAACGTCTCGGGGATCGATGTAACTGGGGCCTTAACAATTCCAGTAGGGATATCATGTAGGGGTCCATGGGTGTTTCGTGTAAGGAACAGTCAGGGATATCATTTAGGGGCTCGGGGCTTTTGCCCAGGACTTTCTTTTAACAAACTATCGTAAGGTCGTGAGGGTTTTGTGGAAGACCAGGGGACGCTGGCCGGATGCTCGTCGGTGTACTGAGAAGCCATGGCTGAGAGGTGAAGAAGGCGGCGACGGAGGCTAGGAGAGGCAAAAGGATTTTTCTGCAAGTGTTCCTACAGAGATCAATATGTCTTCTACGTGCGATGCTTGCTGCTTGAGCCGTAACCAGTTGTTTCTTGTCTTGTTCAGGATGCATGGGGCCGAGGGGTTTCAGGGGCGGCAAGCAGAAGACAGGGAGGACTATGGTTCATGGGCTGCAGGTTCGGTATAAAGGATCTTGTGCACTGTCCGCAAGGTCTGCAGGCAAAACAATCAGACTTGGCTGTTGCACAATCGCGGAAGTCACCCCGTAAAGCGCCAGCACAGTCTGAAACACTTGTGAACTTGAGCTGATGCTCTGATGCACCCCTTGCCGGAGCCTGGTTGCGGCAAGTGCGGGGCATAGGCAGAAGAGCCTGCAACGCTGGGAGGTTTCTGGACATGCCAGGCTTGCGCGCTGTGGCTTCCCAGTTGTGCGCCGAAGCCGCAACTGATATCATGTCAGAAGTGCACGGTACATTATAGTACATCAGCATATTTTACTATGTTTTGGTAAGTTTAGTATATTAGAGTAATGTTCTAGTATAGTGTTGTATCATTCGTTACAGTATATTCGAGTATAACCCAATGTAGCTCTCTCGAAGACTGCCGATTGAAGTAGGGCAGTCCTAGCAAACGCTGGCTTCGTCCGTCTGGGTTCCGGCTTTGGCTCAGTGGTGCTGAGGGCATCAGATACTGCAATGCAAGAACGGATCCGAAGCTTTCCTTAGGCGAAGCTGGGCCACGCCCTACCCGATGCCTGGCTGCAACCACCGGTGCAGCTGCCATGGCACTACACTTGCATGTTGCTGTCGCCAGCTTGGCTTGCATTGGCATATGGGTGTGACAGGCTGGGTAAAGTTGAGGCATCTATTTATCTCTGGTTCCTTTCACCTTTCGGGCTTGCAGCCACTGTGGGTTCTCTGCATGTGCATGACTATGAAGCTGAAACGGCAGGATTGACAAAGCACCACTCATTTCGTCATGCCTCCTGTTGCAGCGACGCCAGCGACTGCATGAAGCCTGTACCGTGAACCTCTGCCATACAGAGCTACCTGACCACCTGGGGCCGTGGCTCAGTGTCTAGCCTGCTCCTCGGGAAATCACCGGCCATCGGAACTCAACTCGCTGGAGTCAGGCACACTGCAGAACAGGGGAGTACCAGCCAAGCTGACAGCCAAGGGTCGTTCGCGCTGCCACGGCGCATAGTACATCCAAAGCCTGGTGCAGTGAAGCCCAACTGAAGCACCCGACGCAAAATGAATGTCGTGACAAGGAAGGTGTATATAGTTGTCGTCTAATCTAAGCTTCGAGTGCCAACTGTCATTCCGCCCCCTAAGACCACAAAGTCTGTGCTGCAGGCCCTGGGCCTGTGCAAACCCCTTATGCCCTAATGCCCAGCCAGCCTTCGTCAAGATCACAAACCCGACATCCGGAAGAGTAAATCCTACAACTTAAACTAAACCATCATCTAAACCATTAAGCCTCAAATCCCAAAGCCTGAACCCTGTATTCACACCCTAAACATCTCGAAACCATTTAAAACCCTGTAAAATCCCCGAAAGCAGCTGAGTACCCGAGCGGGGTAGCTCCCTGCGAGGCGCCCTCGTAGAGCTGCGTGGTCGCCACTTGGAAGCACCTCCCCGACAGTACCACTAAAGAAATGTAGCGAATAGCTGAAGACCAGAATGAAGCTGAACAAGTGACCTGGGAAAGATCGAATTGAGGTTGTTGCTTGCAGTCGGACGACCAGGGCGAGGCCGATGCAAACTTGATTTAGGGTGAGCTTCTGAGTCCGAACACGGAGAAAGCTCGCCGGGGAGACTTCTCTTTATTCTCCTCGACGATGAAGGCCCAGAGCTGATCGAAACATTGCCTGGAGAGGATCCGTTGAAAGTTTTCTCTGTGTTGGGCCTGTAGGGCGTGAGGGAAGATTGAATCGGGGTGCAAAAGAACGCCGGAGCCACGGCTTGCGGGTTTGTATGTGGGGAAGGGGCCACCCAATTTGGCCTGCACTGCCGAACGATCCCAGAACTGTGGGATCTTGCAGCACCGTTTCGGACTTCATGGCGTGATTGAGGCTTGAGCGTGCGTATGTGTAGGGGCTGGAGCCCGTATGCCTCCCACCGTTGGCTGAGATTTGGTTGCTGTTCACTATGCATGTGGCACAGCATCTTTCCAGATTCAAACCTAGACCCGGTCGACTTGTTTGTCCATGGCACCTGAGAAGTTACTACCTGAACGGCAGGACTAGTGGCGAAGACATATGCCGATGAAAATAAATCCACAATACTGAGTGCCAGACTCGTTGGTAAACTGAACGTGGGTCCACGTATCCAAAAACTGGGACAGCAGAGTGCGCCGAACGCAGTATTGCACAGCGTGTCTGGCCTGAGCACAGAGCTTGAAAACCCTTTGCAGCTGGGCTCTGACACACCGCACCCTAAAACCCTTAAAGTGGGGACCTTTATACGCTCTCACAACTCGGACAAGCCAGGCGAGGTTTCATAATAGTAACCTTTATAGTAAGACCCTTATAGACTTGGGTGGCACTTCCTCTACGGGTACTAGCGACAAACTCTCGTGCTGCAGATCATGTGCCCTCGAATCGCGACAGTCGGTGGTGCTGCTAAGCGCCCAATAATTGTCGCTCCATTCGGCCACTGCACCTCTTCCATGACTTCTACATCGCCATCAGGTAGCTGAAGGCGCCTCCAATGTCAAAGACCGACTGGCTAACAGTTTAATTATGATATATTTTGATTCAACGACCCTTGAGGAGACTCGTATGAAGTTGCCTCTCCTCGGGTATCGCCCTCAAACTGCAAGTCCCGGAAATGCAAAGAACGTGGCCCTGCAGCCGCCCAAGTCGATTTGGCCTGTTCACTTCGACTGCAGATCGCAGGAGCGGCACGGCCTGCCCGGTGGATGTCGGACTCTGCGATGAGAGCTTGGCCGGTCCAGTGCCGGGTTTTGGGATTCCGGGTATGAGCTCCGGATTCTCGCCAGCATGCATCACGCAACGGAAAGCTTGGGGTAAGTTTGAGCTTCCCGACATGTTACTGAATCGCGACAGGAATGCAACGTTGGACAAGGAGTTGGGCAAGCACTGAAAGAGGGCCACTCAACCTCTGATCGGAAATCAGGGAATCACTGGCCTGTACAGGTCGCACGATGAGCGGCGCGACCGTGGAGGTGCACTTCCGCTTCCCTGGAACCTGTGCCAGCAGCAACTGCAGTCAGATGTGCGCGAACAAAACTAGTCCATGACTTCAAAGCTGATTCACTGATTCACAGCTTCGTGAGTACATAATTGATGGCTTCACTGCCTGAATGTTGTCCCAGCTCTGCTTTGCTGCATAGTGCAGTTGAGGCAGATAAACAAGCTGAGTTCTACATAGATAGAGTATGATCGGCTGATAGGCTCAGCAGCTGCGACTTCAAGACCCTGCTGTGGCCAGGATGAAGCGAACCCCAGGCATAGCCATGCTAAGACTTTCGGTGCAACGGTGTTGGTCGTGCACTCCCTTACCTTGGTGACTGCACTCCCTCCAGAATCACATTGCGCCACTCCTCGCCATCTTGCGCTTCGTCCTCCGCGAATCTGAAGTTCCACAGCAAGTCGTCGGTGCCTATTCCGTGGCAGGCTCTCCGGACAGTAGATAGCGGCAAACCAGTGTGCGCAGCGGCTGCACGGATAGATTTGCACCACGTCCAATTGTCGTCGGATGCAGCAAGCTTAGTCAGTACTGGCCTGCCTCGTCTTCTTATTGTCGCACCCCTCTGTCGTTGATAGAAATGCTGCATGTTCTGGGATGGAGTCACGAACTCAAGGTTTCGAACGTGGTTGTTTCGGCGATCTCCGTCCTTGTGATTAACTTGCATGATCGGCGATTCAGGCTGCCCGAGAAATGTCACGGCTACCGAACGGTGCACCAAACAATTCAGGCCACGTGTCTGGAAGCCATAGTATCCGTTGTGCAAGAGAGTCCCCCGAGTCACCCCATTCCGATTCGATGAATTCCAAAACAGCCGTCCGTGGCTGCTAACCATGACATCTTGAATAGGCGCATCTTGACCGGGATACTGTGCAGGCAGCCAATCTTCTTCGTCTCGGCGAGGTGGCTCTGGAAGAGTGGCGCGTTTAAACACAATCCAACTACGATTCTTCTTGCTATAGCATCGTGACGCGACTCCTCGGCAACATCTTGAAACCGAAGACCCTTCAAGACCCAGCAAACGAGCAGCCTCTGCCTGAGATGAGCATCTGTTCCAGACATCCACTCCTTCCTCTCGCCAAAAGACTGGTTTGCCAGGCTTGACACCTCGATCAGGAGTTCTTATCCATGAGCGCTGAACCTTTTCCTGGGGAGTCACATACTGCAAGTTGTCCACACGGTTGTTCTTTCCGTCTCCATCTATGTGGTTCACCTGGTAGGGGCCTGGACCTGACGGCGGCTCGAGAAACGCTTGTGCAACCAAGCGGTGGACGAGGAAATTCTGCTCGGCGATGTAGACTTGTCGGTATGCCCCAGAGGTATTTCCAAGAAAGGCTACCCCGTAAGCAGTTCTCACGCGGCCATGAGAGCTCACTTGCCACAAACTGGCTCTCCAGCGAACCTGTACATGGCGCGGCAATCCACAAACTTTGGCGGAAAGCACCCTTGCTCTGAAAGAGGAAGTCGCACAAAACATTACAGGCAAAATTGCATAGCCGAAAGCTGCGAATTGACCCGTGAAGACACGGAAGAGTTTACAATGCTGCAGTGATAGCCGTGCTGCAAGTTGCAGGATGGAGTGGGGTCAGCATCTGCAGACAGGTACCACGGTTGTCTGATTCACGCCAGCTTGGCTGCACAGATCATGGCTGCATAATTCAAGTCGTTCACATATTTGTCCCGTTCGTCCCGTTCTGGCTTGCTCACGAGCAAACCGTGAGGCTTCCAACTGAAACTCCCTGCGCCCGAGTGCTCCAAATTCCGGTCCACGCCTGCCGTGTGAAATTCCGGAAAAAACCACTTCGCCTTAGCTTTCGGCTTGCACAAGCCGAAGTCTGGCTTGGCGCCACTGCATGCGATGAGGACCAAGAGCAGATGCAGCAGGGCAGTCTGCCAGAAACCACTCTCAGCCTCGAGCCCTGGATGCCAAATGCCGCCGGGAGAGGAAAAGAGGATCCAGCCTGGATGGTGTGAAGCGGGCGATGACATTATACTGGAGTGATTGATGCAAGTTGCATGCTCCTCATCATCCTCATCCCATGAGCAAGGGCGGTTCGAAGAAAACAGGACTAACGACGCCTTATGTACCTTGCGACGTGCCATTCAGCAGCATCCGCAACATCACAAGGAATCACAACCAGTAACTGGCCAAGATAAGAAGGTAAATGTAAGCCGCCGGCTGTTATCTCCCTCCGGCACAACCTGCAGCCTCAGCATCTCATGGCTTCGCAGTGACGCGACTGCTTCAGGCCACTGTGTTTAAAAAAGTCGAACGTCGAAGTAGATTTACCTCGATGCCGACCCAACTACGGAACATCACCCTGGCCTGGATACGTCTGTTCCACAAGACAGGCTTCGTACAGCCGTACATGTCTCAGCGACGATGGCCAAGCTCGTGGGCTCCAGGAATCAGTGGACCTGCAACTCCTGGCAACCCCCAAAACCCTAAACCCGAAGCCCTAAACCCACCAGCCATTCCTGGCCACCCTGGCCTGTCCTGAAATCCCTTTCAGAAAGACCCAGGCAAATGCCGCAGCTGCTCGCCCTCGCACGCCGGGCAATCGAGCTCGACCACGAAGACCTGGCTCAGATTTGCAACCGGACGAGAATGACGTCGCGACATCAATCACTACATGGTCTCTTTGCGTGTGTGTGTGTGTGTACGTGAAGGGTATGAGTCCCGTGACATGCCCAACCGATGCACTCGCAGGTCTTCTGAATCGTGGAGCGAAGCATGCCAGTGCACAAATCGGGCAGCCAGCAGCCAAAGGCTGGGTGGGAAAGGGCATGGTTCTTGAAAGTTGCGCAGCCCGCAAACCTGCGAGCCATGGTGACTGCAGTCCCAAACCAAACACAAGAGCCGGAACACCATAATGCCGATATGTCTTTCCCACCAACCCAGGTGCTAAATCCCTCACTGCACTCACCCCACAAACACCCAAGCTGCACCCCCTGAACACAACCAACTCCCTGCAAAAACCCTGAAAATGCATAAAATCCCAAGGCCCACCNNCCCCCCCCCCCCCCCACCCCTCCAGCAAAAGGAGGGCCTGGCAGAGAACCGCCTTGGCGAGGCCCTCGCTGAAGGCCAACCGGGGACCCGGTGCCTCGATGGCCTGACAGACATCCTAGAAGAGGACTCTACCTAAGGGCTTGAGGAGGGACCCTTAATAGGGACCCTTGTAGGTTATTGGGGTTAATATGGAGACTACCTGGCTATATAAGGGGTATATAAGGACTATACAACGGTCATTTAAGGTCATGGGATTAAGGGGTTATGGGTCCCTCCTAAAGTCCTTAGACTCTACCTGGACCCTCTAGTAGACCCTAAATACCTACGATTTGGGGCCATATACCCCTATGGGCACAAAGATCGAGGGTCCTGGTACTAAGGCTTAATAGAGCCTTAGAAATCTCGACAAGATTTTGGAGTATACTGGAATGCGATAAGCATAACAGGACTAAGTATAGGGGGATAGCAGAGTTCAGCGGAGCTATATTCCACAAAGGCTGTCGTACTTTCTACTGCGGCTTCCCAGTTTTCAAGGTCGTCCCGTCGTCCGACATGCGCCCAGGCCTAAGCACTCCGCATGCAAGCTTGGATCGCACCACAACTTTGAATCCAAGATCTTTTGGTGTTTTGGTTTTCAGCCAGGTCTGCGGCTCCACTCGGACTTTGTGGAGCCGTAACCCTAAACTCCCTAAACCCTAAACTCCCTAAACCCTAAACCCTAAAACCCTAAAACCCTGAACCCTAAACCCTAAACCGCCCAGAAATGAAGGCTGGAGTGGCAATAAGCTCAGCTGCAGCCCTCGCTGACCGGGCAAGCTCGAGAGACATTCAAAGGCTCGAGAGAGGACCCCCTGAAAGCCATGGCTTAAGCCTTGGAGGCTCGAAAGGAAATCCTAAATTCTACTGTCGTGGAGGGTCTGTGCACAGGTTCTTTGGTGCTTTTGGGACGTCTGTCTTTCAAGAGATCCTCTTCGATAGAAGGCCATGGAAGGCTGTTAGCTTCAACCCCCCTTCTGGCACCCTCTGGTCTTCCTTGGCAGGAACGTGCCATCTTTGGCAGCTGTACACGGCACCGTTGCGGCAGTCCAGGCAGCTCTCTGTCTTTGCCAAAGACACACGGTAAGGACAGAAGTAGATTGAGGGTTTAAGTAATGGCTACAGTTACAGGGTAGGCGCTTGGGCGTTAATGGAGTTTGTTAGCCTCTGTCGTCCGCCGACGTATAGGTGTCCCGCACTTAGAATACCAGAACGAACTGTTGACTTCAGGGCTGAGGATAAACTGAAAGACAAGACAATGCACTTTATTTAATCGGTAAACGAGCCAAGACACAGAGAGCCTCTGTACATGAACGACTGCGTAGGGCAAAGGAGCGCGGTTGAAACAAAAGTTGCAATGCAGAAGTGTGCGAAGAAATCGCTCCTAGCTACTGTGATTGTTGGCTCAAAACGGTGCAACATCGGGTGTTGCGCCTGATCGTGCGGTGGTCATACACTAGAAGCTGCTTAGCGTAGAGACCCTCTGTGCCCATCGAAGCTCTGAAGCACAAACCCCTTCAGGTTCTATAGGGCATATAGCACCCACATCTCTTCTTTCAAGTCAAACGGACACTGTCGCTTGCACGGGGCGGCTGCACTCAGGACAGGCACGATGGCTTCGGGTACAGCTGAACTTCTCCAAGCAGTCCTTCACTTCACGGGCTCCAAATGTCGATGCTACACTTGCCACGAGAATCACAAATGGTAATCGTGGTGATTTCACACGGCGTAGTTCTGCAAATCCGGGTCCGTACTTCCGAGGCCGAGACAAATACGTCCCGCTATTATACTATGAGGCCCCACACACCCGGCCCAGTTTCTAGAACAACCCAGGTAACAGTCATCGTGGGAGCGCGGCAGCAAAATTGTGGACCACATGCGGAAAACTTGTCCAACCTGGGCGGGTCAACCATTGCAACAGGATTCTGGGGATTTGGTATGAATAAAGTATACGTATAGAGAGAGACTACAAGTGCATAACATGGCCATCTGTTCAGGCTTTTTTCATTATCAACCGCACTAGTCCCTGTAACGCGCTCCTCGTGAACGAGGTGGCTGCACGGAATCAGCACCACAGTCTCGCGGCGAAAGAGCATGTCCTCAAGCACCCAGTGGTCGTAGACTGCTAATCTGCAAAAGCGGACAGGATGCTGCCGCCATTTGCCGTGTGCCCGGGCTGTGCGCCGGCTGGAATCCTTCCCCTTCTGTCCTACAGTGTCTTGCCCAACGGGTCCTGCAATAGAATTGAATCCTCAAGGTTGCCCTGAATGGCTCGAAACCAGGAAAAGGCCAAAGCACATCGTCGACAAACAGCCGCAACAAGGTCCTCCAGACCCATGAGGTCTTCGAGGCAGACGGGGCACCAGCCGTACCTCCAGCATTTTCCATCTCCATGCCCGGACCCAGGAGCTGTGAAACCCTGCAACCTTAAGTGGCAACCGGCCTGCGCGACATCCTGGACATAGCCTGGACAAGCTGCAGGAGCTTGGGTTTAGTTAGGGTTTGTTGGAGCTTGTGGCGCATGGGGCCGGGTCCGTTCAAGGAGCTGTCACGGTGTATGCTTGGGTGGCCGCCGTGGCTCGGAGCTCTCGTACTTTTCGGTTCGAAGCGTCACATCCGGAATTGTCAACCCCTTGCGCGTCGTCCGCGTCCTGAAACCAGAAATTCGCAGAATCCAGATGTTCACCACACAAGCCTTAAGCTTGCACCCAAACCCCAAACCCCAAAACCCAAATCGTTAACCAAAAACCCTGAATCCCAAACCTCATACATCCGAAACCCTAGGCCCTAGACAGTTGCAATCCGCAACTTCGCCAGAGTGGCCTGCTGGTACCTGGGCATCTCTGACTCGGACTTTATGTACTCAGGGTTTAGGCTACTAGGGTCTAGAAAACGCGATCATGGGTGTTTGTACAGGAATGATACTAGTAGTTGAAGAGGCATCTAAACTACGTAAGTGACTCAATAGTTCTTCGAATGTCAGCATTACGGCACGCATAGCGGGTCGATTGTTTCAGGTTTAGAGCGAACGTCATATTGAATCCACATGCTGAGGAAGTCAAAGTCAAAATGGTCAATGCAATGCAAAAACAGGAACGAGCACGAACAGTCTGAACACTGAACATCCTTAGTCAACCACCATTCCTCGAATCCGGCATAAAGACGGAAACCCGCAAACAAATACAACGGAACACCTCAAACCCCCAAAAGCGGAGATTAGAATCTAACGTCTGACGAAGGGCTTCCTTGCCAAAGAGGCAATGACCCCTTCAGGGGCCGCTGCGACCTGGCCCGTATTCTCCACAAAATCTTGTTCAGGGGGACGTTCGGTTTGGGACTGGGTTTAAGATTTTTTGGTTTAGGGCTTGTTTTTCGGATTTAGCATGAATAGCAAGTTTACGTGTGGGCCAGGCTCACCGGTTTCGGCCATCATAACTTTGCGAACCAAGTTTGGCATCTCGGTAGCTGCAGCATGGAAGATTCCTCGTCCGGTTGAACCCATGATGGAAACGGTATACACAGCCCTACCAAACTTTACTGATATTCACCCTACCAGCTGCCGCCTCCTCCGGGGGAGCACCCTTCTTGAAGAGGTAGGCGGCCACGCGCAAAGGCAACTGAAACTGAGGGAGTGCTGGCCTTGGTAATATTTGGGTTTCGAGCCTTCACAACTCGTCTTACCCGTTTCCAGTATGCTGCACGCGCTATGATGCACCCAAGTGTAATGCGACAGTTGAACACTTGCCTAAATAGTGGTGGTAGCGACCGCAACCATAGATGGCACAGAGGATGATAGCAGCCACAGCACTGATATCTATCTCATAGTTGCAGCGATGCTTGCTTGGGCCCAGGCAACTTCAGGGTCACCGCCCGGCCAGCATCCGCTGCCGCAACCACCCTTGCTGGCTCCGCCTGCCAGGGCTTCAGACGGACTTGCCCACTAAATCAGCAGAGCCCTGAACCTCAAAAACCTGAAGAACACACCCTACAATAAAATATACTATAGTACTACGGTACACTATACTATGCTGTAATATAATATAGTATACTATACTATATCCTCGACAGGCTCCGACCTTGCTAGGGGCACGGCCCCCATTCCTGCCCACGTGAAGAAGGACCTCCTTCCCGACCAGCTCCTGGACAAAAACCGAGGGTCGAAGCTCCGATTAAGGTTTAGGGTTTGGGGTTTGGGGTTTAGGGTTTAGGGTTTAGGGTTTAGGGTTTAGGGTTTAGGGTTTAGGGTTTAGGGCTTAGGGCTTAGGATTAGGATTTTGGGTTTAGGGTTTAGGGGCTTTTGGAGTTTGGTGTTTCGGGGTTTCGGGCTTAAGGCTGTGAGGTCTGAATTGGCGGATTTGCGTTGGCTTACAACTTTTTATGACTCCTCTTGTGACATTTCTAGAATTTAAATTGTTTTGGAGTCTTGGCTGGCTTCGATTCAATGATTCACAGCATCGACTGAACTTGCCAGGTATCATAATTTCCCACCAAATTATTGTGTTCAATGTGGCATTCAGGTTTAGGAGAATCGTGGACTTCAGAGTTCAGGGGAGTATATGACCGAGAAGGTTGCCCCCTTCAGAATCGAAGCCCAAAGGATTCAGGGTGAGGGTTTTGGAGCGCAGGGCTTAGGGGAGGTAAAGCTGGGTCTCACCGGATGTTGCTGAACGGAGTTTCCGTTTTCGTCGCCCGGAGCTTCAGCAGTGCGCGGTTGGAGCAAGGTTTCGACTCGCACACTCGCACCATGCAGGCACGGCTCCCAGCTATGTCAAACTCCCAGGTTTAGGGCTGAGGGTGGTCTTCGGGGTTTCCGGGCTTGCAAATCACAGCCGAAATCCCAGCTCCTTGGAAATCAACGTCGCGGTGCACATGCGACGGCGACCGCGACAAGCGGGTGCTCCCACCTCTCTCTGCAAAGACCGAAACCCCCAAGGCTCCAGAAGCCCGGTTCCTTTCATGCCTTTACTGTAGGGAGCCTTTAAACATAGGGTTCTGGGGAATGTTATGCTACAATTATCATAAGGAACCCACAAAGATAGTATAGGTAATTAGTATTAGTATTAAAGGCCCTATGAGGAATGCTTTCTGAAAGGTGCAGATGAGGACATGCAGGTCTTCGCAATCCAAGAAATTTGAAAGGTCTCCCTATATATATATATATATACATATAAATATATAAGCATCCCTCCGTTCACTAGCTGTATCTACTCTACGTAAACCGATGCAGGAGCTAAGACGAATAGGACGGCACCGGAAGACTACATCATGGATTTCTCTCAAGGCTAAACCGACTGCAGACAGGACAGGACAGGAAATTGGGGGTAGGCTCTCCCAGACAACAACTCTACATCTAGCTCTATATACTTGTATACCTACATGTGTATGTATGTGTGTGTGTATGTATTTATATATATATATATATAGATATGTATGTGTGTGCGAGTATGGCCTGCTTGAGAGTCCTTTGGCGTGCCTGGCGTATATCACATGGCAATCTCTGTAGGACAGCGTATTCTGTTAGACAAAGCTGAAGATTTCACGAGGATTTCCGTTAGAAGGCGTCCAGCTGTGAGACACTGTCCTCCTCTTAGACTGGGTCTTCCTGTTACACAAGGTCTTTCCGTTAGATAAAGTATTTCAGTTACACAGGAGTCTTCTGGTAGACCAGGATTCTAAGAGTTCCGCTTGGTTTGGTTTGGCACGGTTTATACCTACGTTAATGTATATAGATAGAACACCTGTAAACTCTAGGACTCTAAAACATACTGTAGCCTGTGTATATATATATATATAGATATATACATGTGTGTATATATATATATATGTAGAACTAGATTAAGGTGAGCATTGCAACGTCCCCTGTGTTTGCTGTGGTTACATCCTTTGGCTTTTTTATCTGGGAACCCGTGACCTCCTGGCCTCTTCCGGGCAGGAGCAGCTCTCGGCCTCGCTTTTCCGTGGCGAGGACGCCTCGTGGCGGACGCATTTTGCCTCGCGACTTCGCTCCGCGGGATTTTAAGCCACGGTTGGCGGCTTGGGCTTTATGAATTATATAGCTATCAGTAGGGTTTAGGGTTTAGGGTTTACAGTAGGGTTTAGGGTTTACTATAGGCTTGTAAGGCACTAAACCAAGCTTATACCTTCACTCCGCGCGAGATTGGGAAAAGGCACGGTCCTTCAAGGAGTTCACCATAGACAACAGGTCTAATAGCCAAGGCTAATGGACGATAGAAGGGATAGTTGCTGTACTACGGTACAGCACTTATGCACCAGGTACGACTACCACGGCCCTCTATATAAGTCGAAAGAGGTTTCGACCTCAAGCTTGTCGGCTTGAGGTTGAGATGCAAGGGTGCTACAACAAGGTTCAGGGCTTGAAAACGACTGCTGCTGCTGCAAATGCTACCGGTTACCCTTCGTTTCGGCCGTAGCTTCGTATGCCTACACCAGTTGCTGACAGGTTTGTAGCTTCCTGCAGCAAGGCGGAGATGGAGCTTGGAAGGGTGAGACGGTTACATCCACCGACACCCAAACTAGACGAGGTGCTATGATGGGATGTACATCTGCACGAACTTTGCCGGAACCCTGCGCACCTTGTGCTCCTAATCCCACAAACTACAAGTCCTAAGCCAGAAAAAACCGAGAAGAGCCTGCATCCCAATCCCAAACCCTGGCTGGGCCAGCCTGCACGCCCGGAAGCATCACTTGCTTGGCTGGCGCATACATCACCGGTCCAGCCGACAGCCTGCCTACGAGCCTTGACAGAGGATGCGTCCTGTGAGCCGAGAGCTTCGGATGGAAAAAGGTTTAGGGTTTAGGGTTCAAGTTTAGGGGTTTAGGGGTGTAGGGTTTAGGGGTTCAAAGCTGCTTTGAGGAGGCCTGACTGCAAAAAGCGCTGCTTTGAGGGTCCATGTGCGCATAAGGCATATACCTTGGCTATAAAATTGCCACTTCAGGAACCTCTTTGCTGCCTAAGTGCATGCTACACAGCTAAATGGGCCCTCAGGGTGATTATGCAGACCTTATGGCTTTAAAGTCTTTCAACGCTCTGCACCCACAGAATGCTGACAGATTTTGCTGAGGTACCTCCAAAATGGTGCGACTGACTAAGCATCCCGAAGACGATGTGGTCTGGAGGCAGGTTGTGCCTTCGGACATGTCTCATGCCACCTCTTGCGAGGATTCAAGGATCAACTCCATCAAGTAAGCCTAAACCATTCAACTGCAAACCCTAATGCTGGAAGCAGGGGCATCGCAATCCTAAGCCTGAGCCCGAAATCGTATATAAACCACATAAGCAGCTCCCGCACTCCACAAATCCCTAAACCCTAAACCCCTAAACCCCTAAACCCTAAACCCTACACCCTAAACCCTAAACCCTAAACCCTAAACCCTACACCCTAAACCCTAAACCCTCCACAAGCTTCCTGAAGCCCGAGCCTCCTTGAAGTCCGAAAGCAGCTTGTTGGTCTGCTCCCGGAGGTCCTCTGAAGGATTGGCATCGCACTTTTCTGCCGGTTGCTTCGGGTTTTAAGGCCAGTTGCAGCACTATTCCAGACAGTGTAAACACAATATGCTCCACATAGATAAGGCAAGTTGGTGTTAAGTTGTGTTGAGTTTGGATCTGCCCAGTGTGGCTGACAACTAGACAAAGGGTCGTCTTGCTGAAAGTGTCGGTGATTTCGGGGGTTTCCTGTATAGCGCCTGCAGCGAAGAAGAGGGCTTGACGGTCCGAAAACCCGACATCCTCATATCTCACTCTGGATGCCCGGCTGCCGCTTTGACAACCCCGGAGTCCTCTGATGCCAGGAAAATGGAGATTGCAGTGCCTGGCATTCGTCATGGCTTGACTTGGCCCAGACTTGTCGAATGTGTATGAAGCTGATGAAGCTGCCGCGCAGCGGCAGGCATCTGCACCCAGCCCAACCAAGCCAAACAACTGACAGTCTCACGTTGCACACTTACCCAAGGCTAACATGTAACACAAGCCTCGTTTTAAAGTTGTAAGACTTCGGGTCTGCTTTGGAACGTGGACTGTTTAGACCCATGACCTCAAGTTGCCTAAGGATCTTGGAACCAACGAAAGAAAGGTCCATTGCAGCCCCCTGTCGTCCGTCGTGGTCGCTGACTTTGAAGTTATTCCCAATGCCAAGCTGCACGCAAACCAACTTCGCTGCTCTTCCCATCCGGCAAATCCCACCTAAAATATTATGCCTAAACCCTAAACCCAAAACCATAAACCCAAAACCCAAAACCCAAAACCCTAAACCCCTAAAATATTATCCCCCAGAACTCCCTTCAATCAGAGGCCAGGAGTGCAGTCTGGCCTTGGAAGACGAGCAGAAGGGGCTTTGGAATGGAAGCTCTGGGAATCTTGTCCAATGGGATTTGGGGTTTAGGGTTTAGGGGTTATAGGGGTTTAGGGTTTTGGGTTTAGGGGTTATAGGGGTTTAAGGGTTATAGGGGTTTAGGGTTTAGGGGTTTAGGGGTTTGGGGTTTAGGGTTTGGGGTTTAGGGCCTTCTTCCCTCTGCTACAGAGTCTGTAAGACAGAGAAGACCTCGCGGGGGCAAGTGTAAATGCTGCTTGAAGGGCACCTCATACTCCTCCATCGACAAATCCGTGACACGGACATGTGAATTTGCACTGGGTTTCGGGCCTCGGGTTTAGGACCTGGGAGCTTCCCCCCTGTATCTTCCCATTGAGATGGGTGACATGTCACACTGAAGCAATGACAATTCCGTTGCTTCTGAGCTGGCGGCGGGGCGCGCCACTGTTGCCTTCCGCATGCACCATGCTTCAGAGTTCTAGCGAATCACGTCTTACAATCCGCTGTCATGGCAGCGGAAACGTGAGGTTCGGTAGCGCGCCGGGGCCCTTCCCTGTGTGCCACGAGCTCGCTCCATGCTCTCGA